CAAATATATTTACTAAATGACAATTTTACAGAAGTTAGTAGTCAGGTGGTAAGTGTAATCGAGTGTTCAAGTGTTAGATATTGTTGATGGTTAGATAGTAAGTAAAGTTGGTGGTCAAATAGTAGACACGGTTTTAATAACTTCTGTAAAATTGTCATTTAGTTATTATATTTTGATACAGTGTGTTAACTATAATTTTGCGATGAATAAATATATGTAATATTTTTTTAAGCATACAATATTGTGTCGATTGGTGTAAAATAACAAAATATTTACTGTCAGAATATTTTTTAAATGATTTAAAAACACAGACAGAATTTCTTTAATGAAATTCGTTTGCTAACATTTTGATCAAATAAAATTAAAATTTTTTTTCAAGTTAAAACACGTGTTTTTAAATTTGCATGTGCATCATGCATTAATGATTTTTTTAACTTCTTAAATTTCTCCATTTCAACTCAAAAGTCTTTCGGCACTCCATATTTATATGTCGTTGATTATAAAATTTGAAAATCACTTTCATGAAACTGGTGCTACGGACGTTGTATTTCGATTTTATTTCTTTATGACATAAGTGAATGGCTGCACAGCTAACTTTGCTTCGCGGTTTTTAGTTTGCTGCCACATCGATTTATTTGATAAGGTAAATTGTTATTTCGGATTTTGTTTTTAAAAAAGTTTCTTAAGTTAAGTTTAAGTCTTTTTTAAGATCATTTGCCACCGTCAACGTCAGTTCAACATTTATTTGTTATTACATATTATTTATTTAAATTAAAAAATATAAATTATATTAATATTATAACAGTAAATAAATATGTAAAAATAAAAATTCATTAAATGACTATAATTAGAACTAAAAAAACTAAATTTAACAGCCAAGTAAAAAAAAAGTAAAGCCAGGAACATAGCAATGACATCAGATTTGAAGCAGAATGTTTACAAATACAAGGAGTATGACCCTCAGTTTACAGCAGACATCAGCAAAAAAATGCAAATGCCCGATCGGCTGGTTCCTGGTGGTGGCTTCCATGAGATGGATGCCTATGCTTCTGCTAATCATCAGTCATCATACCTTAATTATAAGGACAGGGTGACTGCAAATTATGACCTGCCATTATCTAAACTTCCATGTAAAAAATTTTTACTTTTTTTTTCCTTTAGTTTGCTAATAATCTAATAATTTTTAAATTTTATTTCATTATCTTTTGGCTTTTTGGGAATTGCCCACTCAGTGGCCTTTAAAAAAGAGCTATATGTCAGACACTGAAGTTTATTACCATCAAAAACATTAATGTCATTAATCAGTAAAATTCAGGGTTTATGATTTAGTTATACATAGAAACAATGACAGTTCTGTAAAAGTTGTCATTTGAGCACTGAAATAAGACCATATTAAATGAGCAAATGATCGACCTTAAATGGAAATGTGAATAACTAATTTTTTAAGTTTTGATTCGAGAACAAGTTTGACTACTCCATTTGGCATAGACCACAGACCATTGTAACTTCACTTTTAAAAAAGAATTATAACAAAGACAAACATTTTAACATTTTTTCTTCAATATAGTAAAACATTTATTTAGATTGTAACAGCAAAATCCAAAAAAATCACAGAAAAGTTACAGGAAATAAAAAAAATTGTCTATAAATTAAAAATGACATACGACCGTCACAAAACCACAACTTTTTTGGCAACTTTTTAGCATCCTCACACATTGAGTTATGCCATCATAAACGCCCATCACAATGCATCATTTGGTACGAGATGGCTGATCTTTCACTGGATGGTGAATGGTGACCAAAGTTCACACGAAAAGCGAGGAATAAAAATGAAGCACGAGTGTTGATGAGATTTGAGCATGACTAAAACGTAAAACTATAACTACTTTTCAAAGAAATTATAGTTTTAGAACATATATTTTGAAAAATTTTACTTTTTGAATTATCACATTGAAAAACAAATTTCTCTTGAGTGCTAATAATGAATTAAAAAATTATAAACCTTATAAGTGTATCAAATTGTCTTTTATGTGTCTGCCCGATGCATAGCCAGTTTTACATATCAACTGCATTTGACGAGAAGATGTAACCTCTTCCACTTTCCTTTTTTTGCTACTTAACATGCTGTATTGACCTTCTTGGTGTCTCATACAGTCTTCTCTGTTTCTGCTTTTTCCCACATTAGCAGCATTTTTAAGACCCCTTTTTCCAGACAGTTTGATGTTCTGTTCGTTTGAGATATTTCAGTTTTATTTTCTGTATTTTGTTTAGTAATTCTTTTTCTTTTTATAGTTTTTCTAGCATTCATTCATTTGTGTCTAGTTCATAATGTTTTCAGCAGTTCATAATGCTTCATGTAACATTACATTTCAAATTTATCACTTACTTGCGTTAATAATTCATTTTATTGATTACTTATTTTTTTAAAATCTTTTTTTTCAAAAGAATTTACAATAAATTTTAAATTAATGGCTTTGCATTACCTATGAATAAAATAAAATTAATAATTTATGTTGACAGTCGAGGAGTCACATTACATGTTGGCCACACCACCGAGCAGGCTGACCAACTTTGGAGGAACGACATTGGCTGATGATGAGGATGACAACTCTGATAGCGAACTTGAAAAAGTAAGGAGAAGCCTCTGGGAAAACATGCCAAAATCACCCAAATATTCAAGGTCATTTCAGACTGTTATTTTTTGAGATATTTTTCTATCTATGTATTTAATTTTTATTATGGTATTTTGGTTTTTTAAAAATTACTTAACAAATTTCATGCATAAACTCTAAATTGAATCAGGCTCAACAGTATAAGCAAAGCTCATAGAGATTATTTTCTAGCTGATGTTGACGAGGGCAACGAGGAGGTGTCCCTACCTATGACCCCTGGCACCATGCTGCTCATGCAGAAGGGGGATAAGTTGGCCGCCCTTCAAAGACAAGTCGGTTAGTAATCCACATCAACAGTTACATCAGTAATTCACGTGAATATTCACATGAACATTTCTGACTCTGACCTTCTTTATTCAGCAGCTAAATCTTATTTTCATATTTTAGTTTCATAAAATTCTTTTGTCAATAATTGTCCTTTGTAACAACCATAAAAATTGTTTATTTGGTTATTATTGTGATGATGATTGTCGATTCTAAACCATTTAACCACAGGCAAATTAGCATACAGAGTATCAAAATTGCAGGATGAGAATCGCCGACGCAAGGCATGCGAGTGGATCTTATACCCACTTGTCATTGGCTACGTCTTCATCCAAATTGGAAAATTTGTTTTTTCGAAGCCATATTGATTTAAATTGTTGGAAGTTAAATTTGCTATGGTGCTGAGATGTGGGTGGCTGGGTATGCGATTGCTTGCTTAATGATTGTTTTTTTTATATTTGGTGGAGACTATTCACCAAGTTGATCAACCTGTATAAATCTCGTTATCTGTCTACACAAAAGTTCCTCACTCACAGTTTCACTATGAAGCATGTTACTGTTTCATTGTCGTAATTTAAATTCACCTAAATGTTTGTAGGTAAATTTGTTTATTCTTTATACATTATCAAGCTGAATCATGAAATGTCATTCCTTTTTTGTGTTAAAATTTCATCATTGAGGACAAAACTTCTGACTTTTAAAAACCAACATTTTGATACTCTTTATGTTTTTTAAATTCTTAATGCACTCACTACGTGTTTTTTTCATTTCATGAATATCTTAACTTAATGTGTTAAACATAAATCATTGATAACGAACTGTACATGCACGTCAATAGTATCTGTGTTGGGTGTGTGTAGTTTGGTAGCAATCTCGGTATATAAATTTCATCAAATTTAATTACTAGCATCGTGTTCTTTTCTCTTCTCTAATTTTCTTCTTATTAACTTCTTGAGGTCGTATGAAAAAAGAAAGTTCCAAGAGTCATATTTCAATTTAAGTTAATATTTCAATGATGTTTCGACATTTATATGTCATGTTCCGGTTAATCATTTAGTTAGTGCATGCAGTGGCGTCACTAGGGTTGGTGTCACCCGGTGCGGTAACTCATGGTGTCACCCCTCTCATGACACCCCATAGACATACAGCATTCTTAGCAAAATTTATAAACACGAACAAGTTAAATGTGCTCGGCGCGGCGCTTAATAATTCGGACGTCGAATTTGAATGGTTTAAACGTCGAATACAAAAATGATTTGAACGAAAAAAATTTTATTCATAATACATTTCTGGGCGCTGGGCGGGTTAGGCTGAATTAATGATAAGAATAATTTCATGGAGGGACATAAAAACATATACAGTGATATTTTGGTGTCACCCCCCTGTGAGGGTGTCACCCGGTGCGGTCCGCACCCCCCTAGTGACGCCACTGATAAATACGGCATTAACCGGCACTAGTGGAGCACAAACTCCACACCCAATTTCAGCCCCATTTTTTAAGTTGGGGGGCTGGGGAAATACACTTGTAAATAATTCTCTAAAAAAATAACATTTTGTTTTTTCATTAGTGCAACGACCATTTTCAATTTCAGAGACTTAATCTGGTGATTATCATTCATACAGTGATATTTTGGTGTCACCCCCTGTGAGGGTGTCACCCGGTGCGGTCCGCACCCCCCTAGTGACGCCACTGAGTGCATGTATTTATGTAAATTTTATAAAGGAGAAATTAGAGTTATAAGAGTGTCAAACTAAACTAACAAGGAGAAAGTTCTTTTTTACTAGCGACCGAATTCAACGAGATGTGTATGTGCAGTTCCTGTTTGTTTATACATAATAAATTAAGAGCATCATATGTGCTCTAAGGATTCTCCCGAATTGTTGGCATTAATCAATTTAAAGTTTGTCTTTTTTACTAGCGACCGAATTCAACGAGATGTGTATGTGCAGTTCCTGTTTGTTTATACATAATAAATTAAGAGCATCATATGTGCTCTAAGGATTCTCCCGAATTGTTGGCATTAATCAATTTAAAGTTTGTCTTTTTTACTAGCGACCGAATTCAACGAGATATGTATGTGCAGTTCCTGTTTGTTTATACATAATAAATTAAGAGCATCATATGTGCTCTAAGGATTCTCCCGAATTGTTGGCATTAATCAATTTAAAGTTTGTCTTTTCAATTTTCCTTACTAGAATTTTCAGGGAATTGTTCAATTTATTAAAAATAGAATTATTGTCCAAGTTCATCATGAAAATTTAATGAAGCTGTTGCTATCCAAATTCAATAATTTTCATGAATTGGGTAGAATTTATACAGTACTGTATAAAATATAGTCTCTTTTCAAAATAATATATTTATATATGCCGTAATTTATGAAATCTACCGAATTTCTAGCGTTGGATAGTTTTTATTACTTTTCAATATTTCTAACTAAATTCTTGTCTTCATTATTTAAATGCAATAAAAAACTATCCAACGCTAGAAATTTAGTAGATTTCAAAATTATTGCATTAATTATTGTCTTATTCCAGCTTGCGTTATGTATTACAAGTATACAGAAGTAATTACCCCCAAGCCTGAATACATGAGCGTCATAGAATGAAAGTTCAGGAATAACAATGACAACCAACATAAGATACCAAAAAATTCTTCAACTGCATGTAAAGGTAGATGGTGTTTAAATAAATGACATTTTAATTTAGTCTTTAGGGCCCTTTTGAGAGACTTTTGTTCCTGAAGGGTGCTCTGTAAATCTTGCTACCTATATATAAGTGTATATGTGTGTGTGTGTGCGTTTGGGCAGTATGTTTTCTTGAAAACATATTTTGTTTAATTTGTTAAATCTACCGTTAATTTTACTTGTCTTATTTGAAAATGATATATATATACACACACACACATATATATATATATATATATATATATATATAATGCGCGTTAATTGTGTACATAGAACGAACTGCATTTCTGTATTTAAATAATTAAACTTTCAACACTGTGTGATTATGTGAGCTTTTTTTGGCGTTCAGGTGCCATTAAAAATCTTGCTACAACGAAGTTTTTAACCATGTATTGTTTTCTAACATTACGGAAAAATGTGAACTTCAAAATATTTGTGATTGAAAAATGTGAACTTCAAAATATTTGTGATTGTACGAATTTATTCACAACAGGATGGGAACTGGCGTAATGAATGTGAATGAATGTGGCGTAATATCATATGGTTGATATGATGTGATGTTGTGTGGTTGGTTTGACGAAACTTCACTTTCGGATCAAACAACTCTATCAAATTGGAAAGAGTTCTTTTAATTTAGTATCTACTGTCCGGTAATAAAAAATATATAATGTAACGTTAAAGAATAACGCCTCTATTTTTTATATAATTGAAGAAATTAAATGAAAATTGTCCATATTGAATATCAAAATGTTTAATAATTTTTAAAGTTTAATAAAGATTGAATATTGATGTCAAATTTTACAATATTTCACTTTTTTATGAAAACTTCTGACTCATACCTATATCTCTTAACAAAGAAAGATTTTTTTATTTTACTATAAAAGAACTGTTTTAAAGTTTACGACTACTCCGAATGTATGTTATGTATACAAGGGAGCTCAATAATTTTATTACATAGAATCGGTTTTAGAAATAAATGTAAAAATGTTTGAAATTTGATTGAGAAGAAATACCTATTTACTTGTCCTTACCAATTTTCATATGCTTGCATAAAATTTAACCGTTGTTATCCAAATGAACAACCTTTAAATTATGAAGTTAATGAAATTTACCGAAATCCCACAATCAAAAACGTTTCACCGTTTTCTCACTGAGCCTTCATGACAAAATCCCTCAGAAAAGTAATTTAAATTTATTAACGTTAAATTTTAAATTTGAATTAATTTGTTTTAATAAATCTAAACACTTTATTACTATTCCTCCACAAGTTTCATAGTCTAGGCTTTATCTTTGATTCTAGCATGTATCTTTCTTGTCAGATTAATAGTGTTGCTGGAAATTCTTACTTTCATCTACGTAGAATAAAAAACTTTTGCCTTTTCTTGATGATCCTATTCTTCTTGTTACTTCTTTAGTCTTATCTAGAATTGATTTATTGTAACTCGCTCTACTATGGTCTTCCTGATTTTATACTCTATCCTTTAAGTAAAGCTTTTAACTCTGCTGCTCGTTTACTCGCTCGTGCCCTTTCTTTTCTCATATATCATTCCCATATCTTGTTCTCTTGCACTGGCTACCTATAAAATATAGAATAATTTTTAAAATTTGCATATTTATGTTTAAGTCTCAATCTAAATTATTTCCTAAGTACTTATCAGATATATTAATTGAACCTAAACGCCCCGGTTTACGATCGTCTTCATTTTCACGCTTCTTCTTAACTCGTGCTAAACACTCTTTTGCAAAATTTGCTTTTTTTGACTCTTTTCTCTGGAACTCTCTACCTACTTCTCCATCACTTACGAAGTTCAGAGCGGATCTCAAAACCCATCTGTTTGCAAAATTCATTGAGGAGCGCTGTTGAACATAGCGGAAATAGCGCTTTACAAGCTAATTGATTGTGATCTACTGAAATTTCCAAAAATTCAAATCTCCAATGTTTCAAAACACACACAACTTTTTATTAGCGCTAAGTGACAATGTCGACATAAACCTATATCTCAAAACATCACATATCGCGATAAATCTCAGTGATACATAGTTAAAGTACGCAACACATTAATTGATTCAGTTGATATATCGATTTGAGGGCAAGTTTAGACAACACTCTTTTTTATGTAACTCTCTTTTTTGAAAAGAAAATTGAGAACACAAAAACGCGACAAAATACGGCAAAAATGAATGATTTATTAACATAAATTAAATTATTAATTTTCTTTTCTCTTGTTTTTTTTTGAAGGCGAGAACGTAGGGAACGTTAGAGGGACAGTTAGGATGGCCTTTGCATCATTCTTCACGGACTTGTCCCCGCGATTGACCGTGACCTTGCAACCCAGTAACCTCAAATACTTCAACAAACTGTTGTTAGCATAAAAAATTGTTAAAAATTGTATTAACATTACTACAGACTATCGTAAAAAAGCAAAAAATCCTAATAATTTCGATAAAATTTCACTAATTTAGTTTATTTTAACTGATAAATAAATAAATGTTATCAATCTAATATTCGAAACGTTAAAATTTGTAAGAAGTTAAGCAAATGAAACGGCACGAACTCTTTGCCGGGTAAATCAACATTCAGGTCAGACACGTTCAGTGAAAAATCATCTATATGCAAGCAAAGAACTAAAATATGGAACAATATTGAATCTTTCGTCTTTGGTGGAATTGATCTATAGTTAGGATGACAACATTTATAACTTGAAGAAGTTAATGAAAAATAATTAAAAACGACATGCGATTATTTTTATTGAAGCTATAAGAAAATTAATTTTAGTAAATCATTCATTCATCCTTAATTAATTCATTCATTCATCCATCGATGCATTCATCCACTATTTTAATTCATCCACTATCACCTAAAAATTTATCAACATTAAAAATTATACATCATTACATTATATTCACTATGAAATAAATTATAACAAATGCTGATAAACAAATCTAACCTAGCAAATTTGTGGCCAGCTACCGGTATAGTAAACTTTCCAACCATGTTGCTCTTAACAAGTGGCGGAATATCAGGAGGCATAAACTCTATGGTAGAAACAAAAATATTTCAGTGTGTTGTGTGTGTGTGTGTGAGAGAAAGAGAGGAGAGAGAGAGAGAGAGAGAGAGAGAGAGGCAAAACTATTATTAATTTTATTGAATCATCTCAATTGTAAAGGAAATATGAATCAACATCTTCTTTTTCAAAATGACATGAATTAGAAAGTTTCAATAAATTAACAAAAAGAGAAATGAATGAATGAATGCACAAATGAATGCACAAATGAATGAAAAACTGAATGAATGAATGAGTAAATGAACATATAAATGAATAAATGTTTAAAACCTTTTTTTCTCAACGCTGCATATTTGAGTGAGTACAAAAACAGAAGGTAACGTAGATACATGAACTGTTTACACTTTTTAGCTCTGGCTGCATCATCAACGGGTAGATACTTTAGCCGGTCACAAATGAATGAAGGATAGCTATTTCGTGATTGGTTAATTAATCGTCCAATTAAATTGACTGTTGTCTGTTAATTAACCAATCTAATTGATTCGAAAGAAGGTGGTGTTTTGTGATTGGTGTGTTGATCAAGCAATCAAATTGATTGATTAATTGGTGAAAACTAATTGGTTAGAAAAATGAACAGTGAGATTGATTGATTGGAAAATGTCATGTGATTGGTCATTTTATCAATCAATCAATCATAGCATTTTGAATATTTAACTATTCATACATATATACATGCAAACATAAGTACATACAACGTGGTACATACATAAATAAATACAATGTGGTACATACAATGTGGTGCGAGTATGTACATTAAAAAAAATTTCCCGGCAAAAATGACATCATCAGTTACTAAAACAAAAACAACATCAGTAATAAAAAAACAACAACGATAACGACGAAGTCATCAACATTTAAAAAACAACAACAAAGAAAAAACAGCAAAACAAACGTCTTATTGTTGCTCCACTCGGTGATGAGTTTGACGGTAGACTCTGTGAATATTATGGCAGGTGTGGCCAGGGCGTCCATCTCAGCGTCACTTATAACTTTTTATAAAGTCATTGTTATTTCTATTATTAATATCACAATTTAATTTTTTTTTTCTGAATTGTTCTCTTAATTTCATTTGATACATTTCGATTTTTGACTTTGAAAAATTTGAAAATGCAATAGCTGAAAAGAAAGTTGCATACAAGCAATGGCAAAAATCAAAGTCTGTTGATGACCATAAAATTTTCCGTGAGAAGAACAACTATGCAAGACGTCAAGTTGCACTGGCTCGGACAGATCAGTGCAGAGAGTGGCTCACTAAAAGCAAAGGTGAACAAATGAAATCTCTGTATCGTATAGCAAAACAAGCAAAGCGTACGAAAAAAGACATAGTTGGTGCCTCATGTATCAAAAACGACAAAAATGAGATGGTTCTTGAAGAAGATGAGATCAAGCTACAGTGGAGAGAATACTTCAACCGTCTGTTAAACGAAACAAATCCCATCAATGTTAACTTTGACGCTCCACCCATCGAAGGTCCGATTCCAGACATCACTATAGAGTAGCTTACAGAAGCTCTAAAAGCTATGAAGGATGGAAAGGCAGCAGGGCCCTCTGGACTCACAAATGACATTATCAAAGCATCTGGTACTGCAGGTATCCAAACGTTACTACAACTTTGCCGTGAAATCTGGAGAAATTGCTTAATGCCGACTGAATGGAACTATAGCATGACAGTCCCGCTATACAAAGGTGATCCATTGAACTGTTCATCATATCGGGGTATACGTCTGTTAGAACACTCCCTGAAAATTGTCGAAAAAATCATTGAGAGAAGATAAATCGGAATCACAATCGGAAATTATCAATTTGGTTTCCTAGCGGAGAAATCAACAATTGATGCAATTTACATCCTTCGGCAACTGCAAGAGAAGTACCTCGCAAAGCATCAACAACTATCAGACATTTTTGTAGACCTTGAAAAAGCATTTGATCGAGTTCCCCGTGAAGCAATCAGGTGGAGTCTACGTCGACAACTCATTCCAGAAAATCTTGTTCGACTTGTGATGGAAATGTATACGAATACTAAGACTCTTGTCAGCACAACGGTTGGAAACACAGATGCATTTGACATCGGCGTTGGAGTTCACCAAGGCTCGATTCTCAGTCCACTGTTATTTATAACTGTGATGGAAGAAATCACAAAACCGATACGCACTGGTGACATTTGGAATCTAATATATGCTGATGATATCGTTTTAACAGCCACGTCTGAGCAGAATGCAGCACAGATGTTTGAAGATTGGAACACCAGACTCGCCGATCATGGATTCAAAGTCAACATCAGCAAAACCAAAGCAATGAACACTGGTGAACCCATCCAATCCACAGCTACTGGACGATGGCCCTGTTCAGTTTGTAAAGCTGGTGTAGGTAACAATTCAATCAAGTGTCAGCAGTGTAACCAGTGGTGTCACAAACGTTGTTCAAAAATAATTGGTACTTTATCTAAAGTACCAATTTTGTCCAACTTTGTTTGTCCTGCTTGCATCAATCCACAACAACAAATTCGAAATAGCACTGTTTTTGAAGCCAGTAAAATAGAGAAAGTCACATCGTTTCAATATCTAGGGGATGTTCTGGATTGTACTGGAACAGCTGAAGCTGCGGTTCGAGCACCCATACGTGCAGCCTGGAATAAATGGCATCTCCTTGCCTCTATATTGATGCGGCGTGACATCCCACTACCATCAAGATGCAAATACTACGATCAAGACTTTATAAATCTGTGATACGTTCGGTGTTGTTATATGGTGCAGAAACATGGCCAATGACAACCAAACTGGAACAACAACTTCAACGAACCGACATGAAAATGCTCCGATGGATGCAACGAATTAGTCTGAAGGACCACATCAAATCTACCGAAATCTTGTGTCGTGCTGGTTTAGATGATATAAAGGACGAATGCCGGCGACACCGTCTGCGGTGGTTTGGTCATGTCAAACGAAGTGGAAACAGTGCCATAACTTCTCTTGCAGATGTTGAAGTACCTAGCACACGTCTCAAAGGCCGTCCAAAGAAGTCCTGGTCGCAAACAATCGAACAAGACATGAAAGCTCTAAATTTAAATGAAATGGATACAACTGATCGTCTAATTTGGTGCAAAAAGTTGATGGCAAAGAAAACAACGTCCTACCTCGGGAAACTGGGTCTCTGGACGCAAAACGAAGATTGATTGATTGATTGATCTTTGACTTTGATGTTTGACAAAAAAGAGTTGCCATCATCATCATCATCATTATTATTATTACAATAAATTATAGTTATAGTAAATTTTGTAAAACACAAACTTTGGTTCATTGGATAAATGTCTTGGACCTGTAATGCATTCAAGTTGTGCTTCGGCAAATAATCCAGTGAAGAGTCAGAGTCTAGAGGTGATAATTTATGCAAAGTTATGTTAATATATGTTAATTTATGTAATTAAATGTAAAACGATTTTTTTTTACTGTACAAAAACAATATTCAACTATCTTAACAAAATAACCAATTAATCAACACCAATCAATCAACCAACTTTAATCAATCAGACAACTAACTAATCAATCAGCCAACCAACCAATCAATCAATCAACCAACCAGCCAACCAATAAATCAAACAAACTTTTAGCTTTATCAGCATCATCATCTTTAAATCCATTCGATTCAATCTTCGAGTTGTTGATTGCAGCCCCAATCGAACTCTCGTACGACTCCTGTATCACTGCATTCCTTTCTCGACTGTCAATCAACCTCTTGCCTTTCGTACTGCCAAATGCTTTGATAAGGCGATCCCTCTGTGTGCGTGTGTTTTCATTGGTTGGATTTTTAATTAGCGGGAGGAGTTCTTATAAATCATTCATGCTCATTGGATGAAATTTGAAAATGAGATAAAGTAGTAAACTTGAGAAAAAATTACATTTAAAAATAATAAATTATGATTAATTATAATTAAATACAATTAACATTAATTATGAATGCGAAAAGATAAACATGCCAACAAACTCACAATCTTATTTTTATTCTCCTCTTTGTCTTTGTTCATTTTTTGTTCTTCCTCTTTTAGAAGAAAAAAAAATTTGTTACAAATCTATTTAATTATTTTCTAATTTTATTTATTAACCATTATTAAAACAATTCAATCATTAATTAATAAATCAATCAATAATTTATTTATTTATTGTATTAAAAAACAAAAATCATTTCCAATAATAAGTAAATAAATTAAGTCTGACTGGTGTCGTTTAGTATTTGACAGAAATAAATAAATATTAAAAGTAATTTACATTTTAAAAAATAGAACAATATGAAAAATAAGTATAATAATATTAATTAATAATAATATTAATAAATAAATAATAATAAATGAATAAAATGTTCGTACCTTCATTGAATAAGCTCATTTCAAAATAGTTTGAATCTAAAATCTGCAGCTTGTTCTTCTTCTTATTATATATGCCGACATAGTGCCTGGGTTAATTTATACATAAATTGAAT